TTCAACGTTTATTTTATTTTTAGGACAGAGAGAGACAGAGCATGAAGGGGGGAGGGGCAGAGAGAGAGGGAGTCACAGAATCAGAAGCAGGCTCCAGGCTCTGCGCCATCAGCCCAGAGCCTGACACGGGGCTCGAACTCACGGACCGCGAGATCGTGACCTGGCTGAAGTCGGACGCTTAACCGACTGCGCCACCCAGGCGCCCCATAGGATTAATCTTTAAAAGCATCATCTTCTATGAGCAAGTGCAAACCTTTGTCTGCCCTCAGGGAAAGACCAGCCAATGAGAGATTTTTCTGGTGATGTAATGCTTGTTAACTTACTCTCTTGCAGACATGATTGGGGAAGATGCTTTTCAGAGCATCAAACGTATTGAGTTTAACTCTTTCTCACATGACTAATTTTAGCTCAGAAGCCACTTCTGACACTTCATAAATATGTCGTGTAGGACAGCCCTGGAATAGTCATGCAAAATCATTAGACTATAGAAATGCTTTTAAGCATTGGCATCTGTACCCACTGGCATTTGCCAATGAAAATTCCCTACCTTTCTTGAGAAATCAATATTTTCATATCCTGGTTGTTATGTAAATAGACAATACATTAACACTAGCCAGCAGCAGATACAGTTATATTTCTTTCTCAGATGTAGATTCTCATGAAAATCCAATCAAAAGGGATAAACACCCAAGATGGTTTTTTTTTTCAATCAAACTCCTCACAGTTGGCCTCTCATGACTATACCGACTTCATTTTCATATTCATCCACTATTTCAGAGATAAAAAATATTCGAAGCAAGGACTTGGATAGTCAGGTGTGTGTTCATAGTGATATCATAATCCTTTGCTTAGTGAGTAATGTACAGAGCTGATGCAACTGAATGCTTATGAACGTCCAGAGAACCCCTAGCCCACGTCAGGTGAAGGCCCATTACCCATCACGTGTATTTCTATAAAGTAATAGGCAGGACAAAATATGTGTGTGTTAGTTTTTACCAGGAAAACGTGTAAAAAAAAAAAAAGCAGACTAAGCTCCAGATTTCCAGCAGGTATTATTTTGCGCAACAGCTCATTCGCCTTCCCTCTCCCAACATTTCAAGCCTCACTTTTTGGAGCAGAAGAACGCAATGGTAAGCATATTGTGAAAAACAAAATTTGGAAGAGGAGTGTCATGATACCTGAGCAGACCCGTGGTTTATCTGATCTGACGCCCAGGAAGAAAGCAGTTCAGACTGCTAAGCCAGCTGTGTAATTTGATGTGCTGGACATAATTCAAAGATGACGAGCTGTGAGGACTCACAGGAAATATGCAGGAAAATGTTTTATTCGGACTTTCCGCTTTGTTTCTTTTCTCAGACGATCCTCCTCCCCCTTTGAAAAAACTGAGTTCATTTTTGGCACCTGAGTCTTTCTTGGGATATTTATATTTATTCGGGTCATGGTAATAACCATGCAGTTGCACGGGGTTATGGGGTGGAATGATGGCATCGTGGAATGTTTCAAACCTGGCTGTAAATAATGTCTCTACCATACAAGGGAGTGGTAAGTCACTTTAACTTCGGGGAGACATACTTTCTCCATCTATTAAAATGAAGTAATAATTCAATGTGAATTATTCAAATAATATATATAAAGTTTTTGGCAAGAAGTAGGTACTCAACTGAGAGTATTACTCAGTATTACTCAATAACTGAGGGTTATTACTATTTTTTATATACACATAATTCCAAGCTGCTTTACCTTTCCAAGTTGAAAACCGAATTATATAAAAATGACTATTTACCCACAGCAGATTCCCTGACACAATGAATTTTATCCACTTGTTGTTGTGAAATGAACCATTTTGTTTTCCATTGAAGATTTAGTTTATACTTGATTCTTCATTTACCATATCATTCAGTAGTCTTTTGTTTTTAACCATTAATGTTTCAAAGTTAGTACTTTACAAATACATGATTTTCTCTACAATCAGTGTAAATAGTAGTAATATAGTACATTTCTTCTAGAGATCTGCTGATATTTTAAAGGCATAGCTTTTCCAAGTCTATAGAAAAGGTCCTGGAAGGCACTGGTCATGCTAGTAAATCAGCTTATCACAAAGTAAGGGTGACTGGGTAGCTCTGTCAGTTAAGCATCCAACTCTTGATTTCAGCTCAGGTCATGATCTCACAGTTTGTGAGTTCAAGTCCTGCATCGGGCTCCACGCTGCCGGTGCGGACCTTGCTTGGAATTCTCTCTCTCACCCTCTCTCTCTCACCCTCCCCCCACTCATTCTTTTTCTCCCTCTCTCAAAATAAATAAATAAACTTTAAAAAATAGTAAAAAAATGGAGTTTGTCATGATCAAGCAAATTAGTAGCTTGAGTTTTTTAGTAATTAGCATGAACTAAATTGTTTGCATCCTCTGACACAGTCCTGCAAATTGATTTTAGATTTTAAATTTCAAGGGCTATTGAGTTCACCTTAACAAAATTTATCAAATGGCTAATCTGTGCATGGAGAGACTCTTGAGATTAAAAACAATGGTGACAGCAACAGCTGTCAAGGCTTGGTTTCTCCCTTCCAGGTGCTAGGGTCTAGTTAAGGGGACAGACACCACAGTGTGTTAAGTTCCATAACGGAGTAACGTATAAGGTTACTGGGAACCCAGATGGTGGGGCTTTGAAGTCAACGTTGGAGGGAGAAGTTTTTGAGAAAAATCATGCACAGGTAACATTGTATTGGCTTTTAAAGAATAGTAAGGATTTTTCTTATATGGATAAAGTAGAAGAATATTCCAGTTGGAAGGAATAGCTAAAGTGCAAGAAGAAAGTATTGATAATTCATGGCTATTTGTGAAATGGCTGTTGACCTAGCCGAGTGTTTGACGTTGGATAGAAGTGTGGTGAGGGAAATGGCACGTTCATGTGTAGAGAGGCTTTTTGGAAAACTAATCTACTACTTCCCAAATCATAAGTATTCTTATCTCCTCTTGCTTACATACCATGAGAAGGTTGATAATACATACTAGCTAGACTATTTTTCTTTTTGTGATGTCTTTAAGCCTATTTGGACTTTTCTTCAAGTAAAAGAATATTATTCCTTTGCTTTTCCTCTGATTAAAAAAAAAAATTCTTGTGTACTACTAACTTCAAATAAGATAAATGTAAATTTTACAAACCCTATTTCAAGAAGGCAATATAAATTGTACAAAAATAACACTTAAGGCCTACAAAGTCTAATACTATAATAGTAAATAATACTTAAGATCTGTTACTTTTGATTCATATGGAAGCACATACGAGCAAACTTGTAAAAGGCAATATATCTTAAATAACATGTGATTAAGAATGCCAGAGTGTGCGTTGAAGAAGCATTGTCTATGCTAATTTTGTAAGTTATCTGGGAAAACTTCATTGTTCATATTCACATGGTGAAGCACTAAACCAGCAGGTCAAAGTATGGAGCCATTCATGTGTAATAATGTGGGTGTGAAAACATTCTTAAATAAAACTTGCTGAAAGTTCTCTGTCATTTTCTTTGAGTCTATTCACTGAACAGAAGTCTGCATACCTTAGAACAGGACTATGTGTATATGCTCAGTAGTTCAGATATGTTTGATGATTTTTATTAGACTTGCACTGGAATGTATTATCCACACATAAGTGATGCTGTTGTTACAACAGGAATTTTCCAATTTAACAAATGGCGTGTGCTGAACTGTCTATGTCCTGTTCCCCCTTTGTGACCAATAGCATGTATTTTAGGAGTAGTTAATGAGAATTACAGGTAGTTGGGTCAATCATGGATTATGGATTTTTATCATGTCAAACCAACTTCATGGAGATTCAACTTACAGTCTTAGAATGATTAGACATCACACACAGGATTGTTTACCTAAGTGTGTGAGTGTTTCTAGCCTACTTCATTCTAAAAATGTTTTGACGTTGTTAGAGTGATATGTGTAATGCAGAAAAATCCACTCTATTCTGTTTAATTAATAAAACAAGGAGGCTGTTAGACTCATATAGCTCTTGCCATGGCAGCGTGTGTAAGCAAACCAAAATCTAAGCCTATAAACGCCTCCAGGTTACAAAATCAAAACCTAAGAATGACCAGTCACCAACACCGATTAGGCTTTAAGTTGTAGCCAATCAATAATGACCTTGCTTTGTTTCTGCCTCTTCTGTTACAAATCTCTAGCTAGCTCCTTGTTGGTGGAGCACTCCTGACCACTTCCAGTTTGTTGTTGTCCAATTCGAATTGATAAATACTCCAATAAACTTTAAAAATTTTAGGGGTGTCTGGCCGGCTCACTTGGTAGAGTATGACTCTTGATCGCAGGGTTGTAAGGTCGAGCCCTCACGTTGAATGGAGAGATTACTTTAAAAATTTTAAATCTTTTTATCATGTTGATTTATTTTTTAAGAGGGAGAGAGCAACATGCTAGTCGGGGAGGGGCAAAGAGAGAGAGAGAGAGAGAGAGAGAGAGAGAGGATCTCAAGTAGGCTCCATGCTGTCAGCACAGAGCCTGATGCAGGGCTCAGTTCCAGCAACCTTGAGATCATGACCCCAGCCAAAATCAAGAGTTGGATTCTTTACCAACCGAGCCACCTAGGTGCCCCCCCCCAACCAAAAAATAAAATCTGCAAAAAATTTTTTATGTATCTCAGTTTACCTTTTATTTATTTATTTATTTATTTATTTTTTCAACGTTTATTTATTTTTTTTGGGACAGAGAGAGACAGAGCATGAACGGGGGAGGGGCAGAGAGAGAGGGAGACACAGAATCGGAAGCAGGCTCCAGGCTCCGAGCCATCAGCCCAGGGCCTGACGCGGGGCTCGGACCCCCCGCACCGCGAAATCGTGACCTGAGCTGAAGTCGGACGCTTAACCGACTGCGCCACCCGGGCGCCCCTCTCAGTTTATCTTTTAATGGTTCAGTATGTTCAAAAATATCGTTTTCTCAGAAAAAAAAAAAAAACCTTAAAAATAAAGATGGCTTTCTGTTTTCTCCATCAGCTGTTAAGAAGAAGGCTAGCTATATCACTCCAGTTCCAGGAGGCGTCGGACCCATGACAGTGGCAATGCTTCTGAAGAACACTCTTCTGGCAGCTAAGAAACTCATTTCCTAATTCACACGAGAGAATAGGGCAAACTGAAGTCATGCTATTTATTTATTTGACAAAGGGTGTAAACACCTTTATATTTTACTACAAAGCTATTTGTTTCTACATCGTATTTATTTTTTTCATGGATGGAATCATACTGGACCAGATGACTCATACGACTTTATGCATTTCTTGCCAACAGATTTTGAGTTTTAGGATAAAACAAAATAATTCCAATGAAAACTTTGGTAACAACGGCTTATTTTGTGAATACTATTTGTTCATAATATCAAACCATAAAGGGCTCATAATAAATGAATATATTTTTTGACACAAATATCACACAAAGTATGTTTTCAACCAATGTCTTGTCAGCCAAATGGGTGCCCTCATAAATTGTAATTTAGGTTTGGACATAAGCATGCTCAATTTTTATATATTTTATGTGTCTCATATGCTGAAAAAGAGCTTACTTGTAAAGGAAAGATAAAACAGTAAAAATCAAATCTTGATCTTGTATATCTCATAAATGGATCCTATGAGGTATCTTAATGAGAAATGACACTCTATTCAAGGAAAGAAAAATAAACGAAGAAAGCAAAAAACGCAGTGCTACTTGGAAAGGTAATGATCAGGGGTGCCTGGGTGGCTTAGTTGGCTAAGTGTCTGACTTTGGCTCAGGTCACGATCTCACGGTTGGTGGGTTCGAGCCCCGCGTCAGGCTTTGTGCTGACAGCTCAGAGCCTGGAGCCTGCTTCAGATTCTGTGTCTCCCTCTCTCTCTCCCCCTCCCCGGCTCATGTTCTGTCTCTCTCTCAAAAATAAATAAACATTTAAAAAAATTTTTTTAAAAAGGTAATGATCATTTCAAACTGTAAATGACTGCTTGCGATAGTAAAAGCCTAATAGGAATAAGTTAGGTTAAGGTGTAATTTCTTTCTCCTTCCAGAAAAATATTTGGATAATCTCTTCCTTGAGGAATAATGGAAAAAATCCCAAAACAGACATAGAAAACAAAAGTATGGTTGTATTCTCCCACAAATATTAGAAAAATAGGCTATAGTATGAGCAAGGACGTCATTAAAGAACAAATGGCTGTTCACAGATTCAGAAAGTAATAGGAAAATATGACACAATATGCCAAAGCTAAACCTTAGCCTATAACTAGAAATCTACCACTCTCTTGCCCACAGTTCTTCCCTCTTCTGTTACAGCATTTGGTTTTCGAAGTAGATACCATATTTCTAACACAATTTAAATTAGGAAATACACTGAATGTCAGTTGAAGGCAATTTTGACCCTACCCTAAGCACATAATTGTATTGTTTTCATGCCTTATCCCAATGTGTTAATGTACCAACCATGATTCTTGCCCAGTGCATGCTTTATCAGTGTGTGCTCCTGATCAATTGTGTGAAAATAGACTAGAAGCTTATAATTAATATTTCAACTGTATAATAAAAGCGATTTGAAGAATACCTGTCTTCTTTTTTCCTTAAGACATTTATAAGTTTTTTTGTTCATATATTTGTTACCTATTTTTTTTTGTAGTTTCAAGTTTTTATTTATATTACAGTTAGTTGACATACAGTGTAATATTGGCTTCAGGAGTAGAATTATTACCTATTTCTTTGCAGCATGCTGGGGAAATGCACAAGTTTTTGAAACATGCAAGAAAAGGGTCTATAGCCCATTCTACCATCAGTCCAGACCAGTCTTGGCCTGATAACCCCAACAGAAGTTTAAATTCAAAGCTCCCAAGCAAACATTTCAGAAAGGGCCTGTTTTATTCATATGGGCCCCAAATTCCCCCAAACACACAAAATGACCCAAAATACATGTACATGGGAAAAGGTGAAGTCTGTGGTTTTGAGAGTACCACCCCAAACCCTCAAAGTGCAAGAGGAATTAATTTTGGAAGGTTTTTACCCTTTGGCTGGGCTAAAATCCAGGAGTGAGACTTTCTAGAGACTAAAATACTGTAAAAGAAAAATTATTCTGACATCTGTTAAAAATAGTAAGGAAGACTTTATTTAAGACTATTGTTATGGGATCAAGACTATTGTGGGGCGCCTGGGTGGCTCAGTCAGTTAAGCATCCAACTCTTGATCTCGGCTCAGGTCATGATCTCACGGTTCGTGAGTTCAAGCCCCACATCAGGCTCTGTGCTGATAGTGCAGAGTGGGCCTGGGATTCTGCCTCTCCTTCTCCCTGCCTCTCCTCCACTTGTGCTTCCTCCCCACCCCTCAAAATAAATAAATAAACACTGAAAGAAAAAAGACTATTGCAGCAGAGAAGATTGAACTGAGCTCCAAATACAGCAAAGGTAGCTATGGGTCTATATCCAATGAGCAGAGGGATCAGTAGGTACAAAATTACTATAAGAGAAACTTGTCTAGATTTCAAGGGTGGGGGGATTCTTGCTAAACTAGCTTACCAGGATTCTTGCTAAAGGCAGGCCAGATATCAAGGGTGGAACATGGGGAACTTGATAATATATAGGGTTGGGGGGGGGGTCTCTATAAACTCACTTAGCAGGATCCTTTGCTACAACTGGGCTCAGCAGGCCTGGTTGAGAAGAGGACTCACAGGCAACTGATTCAAGTTCAGTCAAGAAGGAAGCCTTTGTCAACACATAAAGGAGATGAAGTTGGTTCATTTGTACCATGGCCTTATTTATGGATATTTGGGGTACATAAAAGGTAGACATATGTTAGCCATGTAGAGGAGCTTTGGAGAAGTAACTTCCTTCTGCAACTATCTGTAAAAAGGACCCTGAAGAATTAAGGGGGGTTGAATAGTAATACAAAGATAGAGGTGAGAAGGGGTTTAGCAGATATATACATATATATGTGTGTGTGTGTGTGTGTGTGTGTGTGTGTGTGTGTGTGTGTGAAAGCAAGAGTCACAGTCAGACTAAAATGAAAAGTGTGTGTTAGAGAGGTTAAGAGAGTGGTGGAAATACAGCTGGATAAGTATGCAGAGATAGATTAGAGACAGCCTGGATAATTCAGACCATGTTTCATAAGTTAGGAGAATTGTAATTAGAGCCTGGAAGATGTTTTCTTTGGTTAACATGAGGAAGTTGTAAAGGGGAGCTGATGCTGAAGAAGAGATATGTTCACTTTAAGACACGTTGAGTGTGAGGTGATGACAGAATCCAGAAATAGAAGCCCTGACTTAACATCAGTCTGGGAAGAGAATAAGAACTCATGACTAGTGATGAAAATTCAGGACTTCGTGAAGTGTGTTCATCACTAAACTCTGATCTTCTTGACCATTATACACAGCTTGTGTCTTTCTACTGTTATTTGGTAATAAAAGCTCTCCTTAAGAGAGCACCATCATGTGCTAAATGCTTTACTTTTGTTGTTGTTATTGACAATCTCTATTTTATACATGAGGAAGTTGACCCTTGGACTTATTAAAAAGCCTTGGCCAGGGCTAAATGGAGAGTAGATGTGGAATTGGAATTCGAAGCAAGGTCTGGGATGATGGGAGCCAGAGCTCACTCTCTTCGTTCCACCATGTTGCCTCCGTCAGTGCCCTCCCCCACCTGGAATCTTCTCTCTTATTACACATCTAAATCTCACTTGATATTTAAAATTCACATGAAACTTGTCCATGAAACTGCCTTGAGAATTTGCCTCAATCCCATCCCTGAACTCTCATAGCCATTTTTGCACACAGTCATGGCACTTATCAGTTCCTACCCAGTCCTGTAGTTATGTCTGTGCCTTCCTTAACTCCCTTTAGGTCCTTGAGGTGAGAGTCCATGAATGATTTGTCCAGTTTTCTTGCTAACATCACACCCAGCCCAGTGCCATGGATGTTGTGGGCATTCAATATTTTATGAATGAATAAATGAATGATTGAATGAATGACAACTGCATCCATGAGAATTAACAGAATGAGTTGAGAGAGAGAGAAAACAATGGCCTGATGAGCATTTCCTGCCAATGTCTAGCAACAGATTTTGGTGGAGTTAGTGAAAGAGAAAGAAAGAAAGAAAGAAAGAAAGAAAGAAAGAAAGAGAAAGAAAGAAAAGGAGAGGGAAAGAAACAAAAGGAAGGGAGGGGAAGGGAGGAGTAGGGAAGGAAGGGCAGGGAAGAGAAGACACTTTCAGAGATGGTATGACAAGAGGAGAGAGATGAATAAATTAAAAAGACCGAAAAAATGGAAGGAGGGAAAATTGACGGTGGGGTGCTGAAGTGCTTAGCCTTCTTTCGCCTTTCTCTTTCCAACCTGATCCACTGTGTGTCGAGAATGAATGAAGGCATCAGTGAGGCCACCTTACAATACCCATCTCCCCATTCTTCAGGATTGGGGAAAGGACTTTTTGTGAGGAGGCTGAAGAAGCCAAGGCAGGAGACTCTCCTGAAGAGAGTGTAAGTGGGATCCATCAGTAGGAGTCCTGGAGGAAAGATCCACGTGAGGTGACTAGAGCTATTTTCTGCTATGAGCCTTCAATAAAGTGGTAGGCCTGTGTTACATGGCCTGATTCACCGGAGCGGGGAAACATCAGGAAAGAGCATGGTCCATGCCTCTCAGCCCAAATGTGAATGAAAGTCACAGTTCATTTCATATTTAGATTCTTAGGATAGAGGTAACTTATTTCAGGTTTGATTTTAGGACATAATTCAGAGAATTTCTCTGGGATCAGTCTACGGATTCCTACCAGAGAACACGGCCGGGAAAATAGAAAGGACATGTGATCTGGAATCTGAACATGGATCCCAGTCCTGACTCTAGGGCATGTCCTTTGGTAAGTCACTTAATTCTTTTGGGTCTCCATTCCTCAGTTGTCACAAGGGACTAGATAGAAGGCCTACTGCTTATTATTTTATTCACTCAAGATGGAGTCATTAGGTACATACTATATGTTAGGCACTGAATTTGTTGGGACCAGGACCACTGAAGAAATACTCGAGATGTGCATGAAAACCCTGCAAAACACAAAGCTCTATGCAAACTCCAGTTAACGGTTATAACCAAGATGTCTGTAGTCCTATATCCCAACCTTACAAATAAAAATATTTCACATTGGGCCTAGCATCTCCCTCCAAAAACTGCTATTGGTTCTAATGGCTTCTTTAACCCCTTGTAAATGTTTTCATCTTAAATTCACGCCAGAGGTGCAGAGCATGATTATTTGATTTATAACTCAAATATTATTGTCCCGGGAAAAACATTTATCCGGAAATTATCTTAATAATCACGTTAAAAAAAAAAACCCACAAAAGTAGAAATACAAAATGCAGGCCCATTTAAAGTGAGCCAAGTGCTGTATCTTCTTTTAACTTTAAAATGATGACTCCTGTGGTGATTGCCCAAGTTATAATGAGTTCAACAAGCTCATTCTTGTGTGATTTCTAAAGCCAAATTCATATTTCAATAGCGAAAGAGATCTGTTCTGGTAAACCAAATTTGCTGGATGGACACGATGCAAGTGGTAACCTATCTTAAACGGGTTTTCAGTACCGAAAACATGAGCAATTGAAATTCCTGGCGAAAAAGCACACCACCACAGTACGACACATTTACATAAGTTCTTCATAATAATCTGGGGCAGGTGAAAATTTATGGGAAGCTCCTACAGTCACAAAATCTAATAGCAATAATCACATGTGTTGGCCATTAAAATGGCACTTTCATAATTACAGCTAGATTAACAGTGAGAACAATTTGAATGTTGTGTTGAATTTAACACTTTCTATTCATTGGGGGCACCTGGGTGGCTCAGTCAATTGAGCGTCCAACTCTTGATTTCAGCTCAGGTCTTCATCCCAGGGTCATGGGATTGAGCCCCTGCCTCGTGCTCTGCACAGAGTGTGGAGTCTGCTCAGGATTCTCTCTCTGCCTCTGCCCCTCTCCCCAACTCACACTCTCTCTCTCTCTCTCTCTCTCTCTCTCTAAAAAATAAAAAATAAATAAAAATTTTTATTCACTAGACATACAAAACCTAAATATTTTGGGGCGCCTGGGTGGCTCAGTCAGTTAAGCGGCTGACTTCGGCTCAGATCATGATCTCGCGGTTCGTGAGTTCAAGCCCCACATCAGGCTCTGTGCTGATGGCTCAGAGCCTGGAGCCTGTTTCAGAATCTGTGTCTCCCACTCTCTCTGACCCTCCCCCATTCATGCTCTGTCTCTGTCTCAAAAATAAATAAACGTTAAAAAAAAAAATTCAAAACCTAAATAGTTTATCTTAGTGGAGACATCATCATCACCATCATCTTGGTACTTTACTGGCTCTATCTAGCCTAATCATTGGAACACAAATTGGAGCATTGTAGTCCTAAGGAGATGGGTAGCACATTCCATTTATTCGAAAAATCTTAAATGGCAGAATGACATAAAGGCAAATGTTATGCTATTAAAAATAATTGTCCTTACAGAGCTTGAAAATAGCAACATGGAGTAGCAAAAAATAAAATGGAATATTAATCCTCTGTTTTTAACACAAATTTAATCCCCCCCCCCCCCCCGGCGGCTAAATTACAAAATATCTTGATTTGTGAAAGAACACAGTCTGTACTGAGAGGTGGTGTAACTGACTGCAGTTTCAGAGATGTTTGATTCATTTACAGGTTATGCTGTTTCCTGGTTTGCAAATTATCAGAACTCCCCCTTGTTGGAATCCTATGTAAATTCCTAGTAACTTTGGAGCTCGGTACAATTCTGTTCACGCAATGAGGCCTTTCCTGAATTTAGATTCTTTTTTGTTGTTTTAAGTACTTTTACATACACGATTATGCCCACAGGTAACAGGAAACCAGTGTTTCAAAAGAAAACTTGATCACATTGCTAGATAACACAGGTATCCTAAATAAGTGTGTGAGCGCCTCAAGGGCTTTACCTACAGCTCCTGCCAAAAGTACATATTTTTTTGATTGGTAAGAACGGCAGGTGACGCTTCATGAAATATAAATACAAGAAAGACTCGGGAGAGCTCAATAAAAACCTTCCACCCGTCAGTCTGGGAGGATAAGAAAGATACTGTTTAACAACAGCTGGAAATGGCTTTCGGAGTGCCAATATCAGTCTATCTCTTATTCAAAGGTAGGAAGTTTGTTTTTGTCTTGTTAATTTTGTATCAGTGTAAACTATGAATAGGATTTGTTCTGTTTTAGTGAGAAGCTGGCTTTTAACCGTCGTTCTTCACACAAAGAACAGCACAAGCCACCTGTGAATTAATTGAGTTTTATTATGTAATACAGACTCCTAACAGATTATGCTACCCCCTTTTTTGAGACCTGTATGTTTGCTTTCTGTAACCGAAGAGCAGTTGATACATTTTAACCACTATGCCATAGCATCCTTGCGATTGAATTAGTATATAAATGAATCCACGTGCTCTTAAAAATGAATGTATTTCTATTTTCTGGAATGATAAGGTAGTCGGGGAAGTAGGTATGGATGAGAAACTGTCAGGAAACTGCCCTAATCAGGTTATGCTTTTCAAATGTACATCGATGGGGAAAAGAACAAAAGTGAGAATAAGCGGAGTAAGAATCACTTTTGATCTGTTGCTTGTCCATAACTTTCCATCTGTTGCTTGCACATAGAAGGAGGCTCACCTGCTAAACATGCTTTCCCTCCCCCCCCCCCACCCCTTCATATAGCAATGACAGCATTGACTGAAGAGGCAGCCGTGACTGGAACACCTTCAAACACAACCCAGCAAAGTAACTGGACAGTTAACAAAACAGAAGGTATTTTCTTCACACTTTTGTATTTTCAGTGATTTTTTTTTTTTTTTTTTTTTTTTTACCTTTTGAGAGAAATTTGGATTGTGATCAAAAGCAACACTGGAAATCTTTTAATGTGCATTTTATTATTAGACATTCAACTCTTTAAGCAGGATGCTGTTAAATAGACATGACAGGTAAAAGTGCGAGCAAAGACATGCCTTTTAAAAATTGCCTTCTGCTTGACTCCAGCTTGGTCCCCAATAATCCATTTGTGTCCCGAGGCAGTTTGTCCCCATTTGGGCATTTTTGATGACTGATATTTTGGTATCATATTTTAATCTGTGACTATGACTTTGCAGCCGAAGAAATGAGGACAAGGAGAAGACTTAATCCATCTTTGGAAAGATCATTTTTCTTGTTTTGTTTTGGGGGGTTTTTGTTGTTGTTTTAACATATGCTCTGTTTCCTAATCACGTGTACCCAATTTTTGTTGTTATGGTGATGGTGTGTTTCTTTTCCTGTATTATTGCTATTACTCTTATTATTAGAATAGCTTCTGGCTGCTGTTGAGCATCAGTATTTTTTTCGAACCTGTTTGAACTCTCAGAGGTGAACTTGGAAGGTTTGTTACCTGCCAAGACCTGTGTACCGGGTGGTTATGATTCTCACCCAAATCACCACCCCCTCTTGCGAAGATTGGTGATGTGACAGGACAGAGGAAACGACATAGCTTATGCTCAGAGCCAGGCAAATAAAAGAAGATCATGTCAGATACTTTGTTTCTGAATATGAAAGATAGTAATATTTCAACATGCCTCATTTTACCAATAATTTTAAATTAAAACATTTACTTAAAATATTTTGCCAGTTTGAGTTTTAAATGTCTATCCGTTTGCAAAACAAACTCCGTGTGAGCTTTAGGATCATTTTTAGCCAACGTCTTCATGTCTTCTGAGCCTCTGAGCAAAGAGGAAAAGATCTTCATTGGAAGATAATACGGTAGAAAATTCAAGTAGACTTTCCTCTCAGTGATTGACTTAGGCACAGTGCACCCAGCACCAACTTCTTACGTCCTCAACAATGAAATGCAAGGCAAGATTTCCAAGTTACAGATAATAATAATGGAAAACAGGGGATCAAGTATATCATCTCTACAGTTGTCCTATGCTTTCTTGATAGAGAACCTCTATCAAGGTTTTCCTTTTAAATTTCCATTTTTAAATTTACTCCAAACATCTGCATGCAGTATCTTAGGAAATTTTTCATAAACTTAAAACTAATATTCTTTTTAGAGGAAAGAGGAGTCTCTCTGGCACATTCTTTCTTTGGAGGTATCTTCCAGTTCTCACATTTCCTAGCAAATCCTGGTTCAGGCTTGGCTAATTCAATTAATTTAGTCTTGAAGCAGGAAGAACCTAGCCCAGTTTATCATGGGAAATTCTCACGGGCTGAGAGTTAATTATTAAAATGAGACTAGATTCACAACACCACACTCAACAAGATAAAGGCAAATTTTAAGGTTAATATTGTGTGTTCTTAATCGACATGGAGTTATATGACACAGTGTCTTATTGGTGGCTTAGTACCTAAGATTTAGTATTTTCAATATAAAAAATACATGCCTTTTTAGATTTTTTCCCCCTAAAACAAATAAGGAGGATTCTGTGAATCTACTTAGCAAAGGCAAATATGATATAACATGATAACTAAAGACGGGGAGGTATGTTTATTCATAATAACGACAAAATAGAACACTACTGATTCTGCCTGGGACAAATTTAAAGATCGGTAATTCAATTTTTACCAAAAAGGACCCAATTGTGCTTTAACCAAGGGTCATCCCCACTGAATATACCCCAAGGGTGGCATAGGTATATCAGGGAATGAGGAGTAAACATCCTGAAATGTATTCGTTTTGCCAAAACACAGCTTCCCAAGAGGAAGCTTCCCATGCAGAGGCTTCTGGACACTTGAGCACAAAAGTTTTGCCAGATGTGGTCATTTGCACAGTGTTAGAAGTCAAAACCCAGATTTCCTCATTCTGTTTCTAGGGCATTTCCCACTGTCTCGTAATGTATCTTTAACTGAGTAAAATTGCCAATTAATATTCAAAGATGTTGTCTCAACTATGTGAAGCTTGAGCCATAACTTGTTTCTGGTTCTTGTATAGGTCATAACAATGCCTCTTCTGAAATGCGGCACTGTAGTGCTTCCTTTGCAGTTACCTTCTCAGTGGTAGTCCACAGAAGAAGAAGCAGGCAATTCTCGTCTTCTTTGGGGGAATGAAGAGAAATCAAGTTCATTAGCTCTGTAAATCCAAGTTTCCTAAGTGCAGACTCTCGGGTGTAAAGGGGAGAATGAAAAATTGGGTGCGATCTTCTATGTTTATTCGTATTTGGGCATACTTTTGGGGAGACTTGCTCAACACAGCCTGCTAAAATGAGAATCAATGCTGCCACCTTTTGGCCACCTTGTATCTCTACCTTATTATGTAGCTTCTAGAGAATAGAACAATCAATCCACCTCCATCCCCTAATTAATTAGTGATGTGTCCAAATGATATTAACCTAACCTTTGTGAATATAGCCTGCTGTTGGAATCAGCCAATAGTTTAAATGGCAGAGCACCCAAAGAATATTCTTCAAATTAAAGGTCTCTTTACACGTGTGTAACAAACCTACTATGAAAGTGTGACCCCCTTCATCTGTTCATATTGTATGTCCTTCTCCTAGCTGACTACACAGAAGGGCCCATAGCCTTGAAGTTCTCACATCCTTGCCTGGAAGACCACAATAGTTACTGCATCAATGGTGTTTGTGCATTCCACCATGAGCTGGAAAAAGCCATCTGCAGGTAATTGCAAAGAGCTTTCCAAGTCCTAGAGATGGGAGGAGATGCATTTGTGTTTCACCTAGTGTTTCTATGTGTTTCACCTAGTACATTTCCACACACCTCTCTCTTATCTTGTAAAAAGGGTACATCATCTGAACATGACTCACTATATTTGAATATCTAAGGAGTCTTTTTCCAAACTACCTAACCCACATTACTCAAAAATACAGTTCCCACATTAGCAGCTTCTGTGTAACCTGGGAGCTTGTCAGAAATGCAGAAGCTGATGCCCTACCTCAAGACTCCTGAATGCAAACGTGTGTTTTAGCAACCTGCGAAGACGATTCTGAGTTTTCACGGGGTTGATTACAGGATGAGATGAAATAGACTATAGCAAAAACACTTCAGGAATATAAAGTTCTAGAACAATTAAGTACTATTTTTATGATCATTGGTTTCTGGGCAATCTCCTACGAAAGAGTAGGTTAATAATTTTCTGGATCAACTCATGCAAGCAGCTACCTTTCCCTTCTACCAATGAGGGGAGTTACATTACTACGGGGCTTTAATGAATTGATTATTGTAAAATACATAGCTTCTTCGATACATTTAGCAGTTGGCTTCCGTTTGGTGTTTTCCTCTTTAAATTACTTACTTTTTATTGAAATGTGTCATTCTTTGAAATTGGCCATTTCTTTGAATTTCTATCACTCTGAGTTTTCAAAATATACATTCTTTTCTTTTTTTTTCTTTAAAGGTGTTTTACTGGTTATACTGGAGAAAGGTGTGAACACTTGACCTTAACTTCATATGCTGTGGATTCTTATGAAAAATACATTGCAATTGGGATTGGTGTTGGATTATTATTAAGTGGTTTTCTTGCTATTTTTTACTGCTACATAACAAAGAGGTATGAAAAAAAATATGAAGTCACTGGGCACTTGTTCACTTAATGTTTATGGAGCCCCTCCATCGTACCAAACACTGACATGTATAATTTTTTAGTGAAAAATGGCGGCAAATTTGGCAACTTCCTACATAGATTTGTTTTGGTGCTTTTTCTTATAAACATAGACAAGCAGTAAAAATCTACCTGCAATTGCAATAGAATAGCTCCAATTTACAGTTTCCCTTCAACCTCGTCTCTCTCTGCCTACGTCGAAGTTATGAGTAAGGAGGACAGCAAGCCCCACAAGAGTAGAGATTAAGTGTATCTTGTTCACAGTTATGTATCAGTGATAATACCATGTCTGGCACACAGTAGACACCCAGCAAATATGTGTTGAACGAGCAATTCTAGAAATGAGTATTAAATGAATGAAAATGGATGACAAACATGGGCCACTTTCTTTTCAGACATCCGCTGAGTGTTTATACAGGAGATTCTGTCTACTGCTAAAAACCTAAGACAATAAGCTTGATCCACAAGTATAAGTTACTTGTGTGTTCTAATTTCTATTTTATCCACACTGTAATTTTTTCTGAAATCCATGTAACTTGGAAAAAGTCAAGAAATATGTGAGATACATTAAAGGAAAAAGCGCAAACACATTTCCTTTGTTGTAGCCCACTAAGTAAGTTGTCGTTTTTAAAATGACCAAGACTGAGTGTGCAAAATAAGAAAAGGTTTACTTGCTTAATAACTGTATCTTAGAATAACCTCTGTTATGTCAATTGTAGATAAATTGAGATAAAATCTGTTACATCAATTGCCTAAGAGACCAAGAATGGGGGGGGGGGGGGGAAGTCAGGCCTTTTAATGCTAACAAGACAGCTGTTTGAGGTCAAGTTCCTTAGAAGCAAAACCTAAGATGGGGATTCTTGTGCAAGTCATTGGCTGAGGGAGTGCTCTAAAGGTGAACCCTGTAATGGAGTAAGGAAAACCAGAGCAGAGGAAGACAGTGAGCAAAGACGTGGCCTCAGCTGGGTTCCACAGGGAGATCTAGGATATGGATGGCACAGTAGACCTTTCCCAAGAAGGTGAGGGATCTTGGTTTTAGTGCCCTGTGTCATCAAGCATGGGTAGCAGTATGGGAAAGGGTACGGGTAGCATGGGAAAGGAGGTGAGAGCTTGGAATCTCCCAGGGATCTTCAGGCTAGGTGCTCTGTTGGCCAAGGGCAATCCTCTGGAGAAGGATCTGGCTCTGAGCCAGTTAACATGCATAGCCAATGGGGGATGGGCCCACCAGTGGGGAAAGGGGACCTGCGTGGAGAACCAAGAGCAACTGTTGTACCAGAGCATATATATCATTCTCAATAAACCATACGAGCAGCCGTCCAATTCACACGGAAACCAATGTTCTCTTTTAGGTGTCTAAAATTGAAATCACCTTACAACATCTGTTCTGGAGGAAGACCACTGTGAGGCCTTCGTAAGAAATTTTCGTGAGGCGTGTATAAAAATCAGTGGGCCCCAAATCGAAATCTTCCAATGAAACAACAAAACTTCCCAAGCTGACTGGACTCGAAAATAAAGGAAGTTGGGATCATGATGAAATGAGAGAATAAACTTCAACGTTGGTCTTCAGACTTTGCCATCGTTAGGGTGCCATGGGAATCGAGTGAACAAGCTACTGTGACAGAAGTCAAGTTCATAGTCCTACTCTGGGTTTGTTGCTGTTGTTGTGTGGTTATTGTTCTTACTGCAGAAAGACTGAGCTTCATGCTTCTGACCATGTCAGATGTGAATTTTCATGGGAATAATTACCAACCTTGCAGCAAGCCAAAGCAATGCCAAGCTTGGGTTCTTCACGTGCTGGCTGCCACCGGCAGGTTAGATCACTGTGCACGGACCTAGTCCCAAGCATGCTGCTTTCATGGTGTCTAATGCTAGGATGAGGTCAGTGTTATGGCACCTCCAGCGATGCAAGCATGTGCCTGAAGCCTAAACCAGGGAAAAGAAAATGGATGTCTGAGGCAAACATAAATCATACCCAGCTCGTGACAACACTGTGTAGCCTGTATCTGTGAAGTGTGGAATAAGTTGAAGAGTTTTTGATGACTAAAAGCTATCTGGATATTGAGCCCTGAGTAGGTGAAACATTTCTGTTTCTGCACGGATTATAAAACCTTGTGTCGGACTCAGTGGTCCCCTAATGTTTACGTTCATCGCCTCTTCCTATTGTTAGTGGAATTACCTGGTGACTATCCATTTGGCCCGAAATTCTAGAATTCTACTAATAAATAAAATTCTACCATCAGCCCTGAAATAGAAACTGAAGAATCGGACACAGGAATTGTTTCCCCAGCCGACAACCTGTGGAAACTTTCTCCGCCGTTTCTGAACGCTTGATAGCGGATTTGCACATAGCGAGAGAAAATGGAGCAATGATAGAAATCCCCACTTGGGAATTAGGGTCCCTTCCTCTTTAATCATACTTCTTCCACATCAGTAGAATTATCCTCGTGCAGGTCCCTTAATTTCTTCAGGCTTTGGTTTTATCTTCTACAAGGCCCTGCTAGTTTTTAGAGTTTGACTGGGGGTCAAGAGAAAGTTTTCCATATTCGTCCCACAAGTGGAATTATTCTCAACACCACCTCTGTCCCCCACGCCACATCGAACCCCAAAACACACCACCGGATATCATCTTAGGTGTCTATTCGAGTGTTTGGTTTGCAAAACAATCATTTAAAATTTTGTCTTGAGAGGAAGTGAAACATGGAATTGAAGAAGAATAATATCTACCAATTTTCTCTTGGATTCAATCTAAAACTATGGACCTTATTTTTTCTTATCAAAACAATTCTGATCACAAGATGGGTTAAAGGAGGATCAAACGTGAATGTGCCTACAATGGTAACAAGACTTTCACTTCTGTAATGACTTTTCCATTCGCTCCTAAACACAACTTTACATTCTGCTTTCCTTTGAGTAGAAGGCATTTCGCCAGCTTTGTTTTTCCTTCATAAGGAATTTAATGCCGATGAATTACACGTCAGCATTTTCTGCTTGTCCTCACAAAGTATGCAAAGGTTACATCATACCAAAAAGTGGGGAGGTGAAGTTTCCTCCCAGTGACTCCAGCGACCGCACCTAGAAAGCTATGATCTTCCCGAGCTTTTCAAAAAGGTGTTAAAACGCTGGGGAGAGTCCAGGAAGAGACAATAAAGCTTAATTAAGGACTGCCTCTTGATGAAAGGAAAGAGGAACTAATGCTGGAGCCTGGAGAGGTGATAACCTAAAAAGTTATAAATGTCTGCTGTCTATAAATATTTCTAAACTGTAAACACAATATAATTGAAATTAAGAAACACCAGACAGAGAATTAAAATGTCCAGATTGCCAAACCAAAACAGAAACCAATAGGGATTCTGAGTTTTTCAGTGTGGAAGAGTGTGCATTAACAGTATAAAATCCCCCCCGTGAGACCATACAGACATTTAGAATGTGGCTTATGAGAAGCCATCTGTTGGTGGTCTGTCATACAAAGTAATCGTCTGGTCCCCTGAAGCCTAGAATTCATTTTGCAGAGAGGAATCTCCGGCATTCCTATGGCAATATTTACACATGTAAGTAGGACTTAAGTGAGACAATGCATATAAATACAAGATGTTCTGCAAACTTCTTTATCTTCTGTTTTTTTTCCTGTGCAAGACCCTGAGAAAAGCCTGCCAGGGAAGCCCTTGGCATCAAGATTACATTTCTAGCTATCAGTCATGAATTATTAGGTGGTGTGGATCATTCAGGAAAGAAAGGAAAACATGTTTCTGGCACCTTTGACTAAATCAAGCAGGATAAGGGGTTCACCAATTTCATTCATTTCCCATTTTGTCTTCTTTAGATATCTACCCTTCAATCTCTGAGAACACGTCCTTAAGTCATCAATATTCATAAGTGCTTCATTAATTAACATTCGGAGCATGATAAGGGTGAGGGCAAACACCATAATTTCAAACATACCTGAGCCAGTAAATTCACAGAGAAAATTATAATTACTTGTTATTGTATCTTCTTTCCCCAAATTACTTTTTTCTTTAAGTAATCTCTATACCCAACATGGGGTTTGAACTCACGACCCCGAGATCAAGAGTCACATGCTCTCCTGTCTCAGCCAGCCAGGTGCCCCATCCCAAATTACTTTTTTGTATGTTATGTTTTTTTATAATCCCGGAAGTAGATGAAATTATAACATAGATTATCTTTTAGTGTTTCTGGCCACAATACAAATCTAATCCTTTAATTCGGAAATGTCCATTTTGGTGATGTCAAGGAGATTTCCATTCATTATATGTAATTGAGAAAGTGTCTTCAGAAAATAACAAGGCAAACATCAGCAATCTAAGCTTTTGATGTTGGACATAAGGGCAGTTTGTCTCTGCAGAAGACCATGAGTAAGCCACCTAACTTCTTGCGTTGCAAAATGTAACAAACTCTCTGTAGTGTGATGTAAATATTGATATCCTGCAACCCACATTCATGGGAAGGGTTACCAGAATCTCTCTATTGCAAAATACCACTCTTTCTGGCTTACATCATGGCTGCATGACATCAGGTTACTAGCATCTGCCAAGACGAACCGGAGGTGTTGAAATTTAATTTGTCAGAGTCTGGCACTGCTAATCTGGGTGAGTCCACATTTCTGTCCAAGCCTCGGTGCGGCCCTATTCAGTAGCACGTTCAGAAGCAGATCTTCCAAATTCAGCTCCAAATTTCTGTTAATTATTCAACTCAGGAATGAATGCACAGTTCGGACTACGAGAGCCTAAGCCATTCATTTCCTCGGGATTCAAAGGCTAGGCCCCCTGGAGAATATCCACGTGAATAAACGAGTACTACCCTTCTACTTCACTCCTCTGCCAAAACTAAACATGATGGATATTCCAAACTGTGGGCAACACCCACAGCCTCCAAAGAAACATCCCATAAAGATGAGGAATATGATTATATGGTAACGAGGGGGAATCGCATTGTTTCGTCAGGTCTTATCGCTAATATATCTCATGACCTTTCTTTATAGTTTTTGTGTCTCGGATATTATTGGAGCATAAATCACTTAGACTGAAATTTGGTTAGGACCGCAGTCAAGCAGGTATCAAACTAGCAGTGCTTTTGATCTTTAAGAGGATGGTAATTAGGCTTTACATCTTTCTGGAAAGAATGGCATCTACAGATCTTTAAAATTGCCCCAAAATTTTGATTCAATACTAAGTCTCCTCACAAATCAAGTTAAATGGTGTAATATAGCGATCACTTACGAGCACTTACAATGCTTGAAAAGCATTATTAGCATTATTTTAATTAATCCACACCTGTATGGAATTGAGGCTCAGAGAAAAGGCTATTGCTTTTTCAAGGTCACTTTAGCCTTTCGGTGGCAGAGCCTAGAACTGAGCCAGGTAGGTCTTACGCTCAAGTCCCTCATCTAAACTCTGTCAGATAATGCTTCCTTAAATGTTATGGAAAATATTAATGTTGATAGTTGGCTTCTTGATGAGCTTAGAGATAATACCCAAGTGGTTTGCATGCAAATGAAAAAAAGCTCCTTTCTTTAGAATGTATGAAATAATAACCTTGGTCATGGATCAACCACAAAAATTCCCTGCTGTCATCTGCTGATTATTAAGATATGCATACCATCCTGAGGGTGGGGCCAGAACAGCCTTTAAGTGCCCGCTGACAGATGAATGTACGTTCCAGGGAGAGACTGTGGACTGTAAATAGACCCTGGTTTATCTTCAGGACTCAGGGGATGAAGAGGTTACTTGCAAACACTTGACCCTAGGCTGTGGACAAGGGTTCTCTGGCACCGGTCCCCTAACTGGGGCACACCTGGCTTGGTTTGGTGAGGGGGTGGGGACTGAGTGGTTTTCCCATCCACAGACAAATCTCATCAACTTCCTTCCCCCCATGTCACGCACACAACCCTACCCCGAGTCCCACAAACACTTTGAAGAAAGATGGCCAATGGCAGCAGTCTACGCGAGGGGCAAAAATTGGAAGCACCACTAAAAAACCCTCCGCGGGGGATGGACACTTGAACGACCTGTGATCTGGTCCAGCTGCGTGCTTATTTCACTCTGTTGGGAACCTCCACACATGATATTCTTGTCTGTTAGACTCTAAGGACCATCTCTCCATGGCGTCCCTGGTTGAAAGTGGTATGTGAAAAACACGCAGCCTCTACGGCAGATTCAGCCTGCAGATTCATTTCCTTTGACCTTCATGGTGTTTCCTTTAAAACAAGATTACATTTAGAGAACAAGATATTTTCCTATAAAAAGAATCTAGCTTTCTAAGCTGCTTTTGGAAAACAGAGGATACAGAGCGCTGGTCCCCCACGCTTCCATGGCTTTGGTCAGAAGTGTGCTCTCCACACCTAGCCTGCTTCTGTCACAGTGCTGCTTCTTCAGGGTTTCTATGGGCCTCCACGGTCTGCAACCTTGGTTCTTCGACTGGATGAATTGTAAGATCCTGCCTCATCTCAGTTCCTCTGAGTCTAGCCGGCAGGTTGCCTGCAGAGGGCCTTGTTGTACCGCACACTGAACAAGCCATAAAGGAACACGAGAGGCCAGGTCGCCTAGGAATGTGCTCGTCAGGAGAACCCACACTCACCTGGAAGCTGGCAGGGGAGGCGTCTGATGACTCAGACACTCTGCCCTGCCCACGCCCTCGGTCATTCTCTGCCGTAATCCTAATCAGATTTGTTTCCTCGGAGCTCAACCCTGCTTATGTTACCTCCCTGCTCAAAGACCAAACTGACTCCCCAGCGTGCCCCATGTTTGGCCAAGACTCCTCTCCTGGCAGTGGGAGGCCCTCCCTAGGGACGCTCAGGTGGTCTCTCTTTCTCATCTACCCTTCCAGCACTCCTTACACAGACCATCCCTCAGCTGCCCTCTGTTCCCTGAACAGACTCACAGTTCCTATCTATGTTAGTTAGGGTCTCTGCCGTTTGCTCTACATATATTATCTCTCCATCTCTGTCTGCCTAGTCACAGATACCCCATTTTCCTCCTTTGAACTCCCTGGATATTTACACCCCGCCTCCCCCAGCGTTTTCACGTCCCAAACCAAGCAGCGTTTACATTTTACGTTGTTTTATAATGATTTTTGCTCCTGGCTAACTGCCAGTGGTGATAATAACTGACTTCATTCACTAAGTTCATGCCTTAGACTGGGCACAGTGTTGAGTCATTTATTTACAGCCTCCCTTTTAACCCTCAGAGACAGCAGCCAGGAGGAAGGTTTTGTTGGGGGTTACGGTGAATAGTGGTTCGGGAAAACAGACTGAGGCTTACCCCCCAGCTCCACCCCCTTACTAGCTGTGCCACTGTGATCAGATTCTTTAACTTTTCTAAGCCCGAGTTTTGTCCTTTGTAGAAAAGGGATGATATTTATCTCCTAAAGTGTTTTGGGAGAAATAGTAAGTGCTCAATAAATATTAGCTATTTTGTTATGATGGCCTTCCATTTTTCAGATTAGAAAACTGAATTTAGAAAGCTGACGTAACTTGTTTAATACTATGCAGCTAGTAAGTGGTGAATCTGGATTTGACCCCAAGGCTGGCCAATTTCAAGGCCTTATTCCCTAGGCACACGACTTAGACCATGGCTGTCGCTTGGCCCTGTAGTTTGAAGCAGGATCTGCAACCTAAGAGAGCTGGGCTTTAAATCCCAACTGTTTATTAGTTCTGTGATGGGGAATAAATTATTTAACTGCACTAAATCTTATTATAAAATGGGGATAACAACTACACCTCCCTAGGGTCATTTTAAGACTAAGTTAAACTAGATGGCTAATATATGTAAAAATCTAGGACACGGAGCTCATTCAATAAATATTACTTATAATTAGTTAATATTTGTAACTTCTGTTGAAGCTTGTATTGTTACTCATTACGGTTGGTTTTATTATAATGGGACAAATGCCTTCCTAAAAATCCTCACACTGTAAAATTGAGCAACAAAAACCATAGGGCTTACAGGAAAACTGAGGTTAGGGGTATGACGCTCGAAAACTGTCAGTGACACATTAAAAAAAAAAAAAAAAAGAAATCCACCAAAAACCACAGCGCAGTTCCTACATTTTTAAATGGTTAAGAAATCAGCGGCTCAGTATATAGGGCTCTCTATCTTGAAGAACGTAAGCCGTTGCTTGCGGAAGTGGGTGTCAGGAGAGTTGATGGTGAATTATTGTCAAATGATGGAGAAAGCGTTATACAAACGGGACAGAGAATTGTACCAGCAGATGTGGATGAGGGTAGCTTGTGACACAAACGGGAACCAAGGTAGCCGGTTGATGTTTGCGATCCAGGCACGTGTGTGTATTTTGAGCAGCCCATGCAGCTCGCGCAGAGGCTTTGTGGCTTCATCTAGCAGTTCTTTTTTCTTTTCTTTTCTTTTTAAGTTTACTTATTTTGAGAGAGAGAGGGAGAGAGCACGCGTGTGAGAGTGCATGAGTGCGGAGGGGCAGAGAGAGAGGGAGAGAGAATCCCAAGCTGGGGCCACCCTATCAGCAAAGAGCCTGACTCCGGGCTCCTACTCAAGAAGGGCAACATCACGACCTGAGCCAAAACCAAAGGCAGTCGCTTAACTGACTGAGACACCCAGGGACCACTCACCTCGCAGTTCTATTGGCCGAAATCATGCGTGAGCAAACACAAAATCCTTATAATGCTCGAATTGTCCGTTTATGTTGGAACAAATGGATGTTTTCAAAATACACTTTCAAACAGAATGACCTTGAAATATCACAACTTTTGTCTCTCAAACTAAAACTGAATTATAATTATCAGGCACACGAAGTATTCTGATTATATTAGGCACTAAAGGAGAATTACAAAAGCCCTCATTTCCCCAAGTAAAATTTTACAGCAGTGGCAAGGACATAATTCAGGGGCGCCTGGGTGGCTCAGTCAGTTAAGCGTCCGACTTTGGCTCAGGTCATGATATGTGGTTTGTGAGTTTGAGCCCTCCATCGGGCTCTGTGCTGACAGCTCGGAGACTGGAATCTGCTTCAGATTCTGTGTGTGTCTCTCTCTCTGACTCTCACCCACTCACACTCTGTCTCTCTCTCTCAAAAATAAATAAACATTAAAAAAAATTTTTTTTAAAAAGGGCATAATTCCAAGGGCCCATGTTACTATGGATCCAAGTTCTCTCAGACAAACTTGGTATCACAACATTTGTTCCTTCCTTTGCTGGGCTCTAAATGGATAGACGACCTCATGACTCTTCTTAAACTAACACTAATGTTAAATTAACACTAAGATGGCTTTCCCCCAAACATTACTGACTTACTGTAGTACTGATGGGAAAAGAGTTCTGATTTTCCTTCCTTTCATAGTGATTTATTCTCTTCCTCTTTTTTTTTTTTTTTTCACCCTCTGAGGAGACTGTTGCTTTTGTTCAAAAGTCTTCAAATGATGCAGAAAGAAAAAAAAAAAAGGTTGCCTCTTGCATTGAACTTGAAAGTGAAGCCATTGAGAGCAGGCTGTCAATCACAAACTGTGAACCAACAGTGGCAAGCGGGAGCAGCACATCTACAAAGAGTAAGAGGCACTTAGATGCTCAACTGAAGGTCAGCCTTGTTGCCGTGAAGCTGCAAATGATCCAAAATATTGGTGTGTCTTTGGTCAGAAAAACCAAAGAGAGGGGCACCTGGGTGGCTCAGTCGGTTAAACACCCAACTTTGGTTCAGGTCAGATCTCATGGTTCCTGGGCTCAAGCCCCACGTCAGGCTCTGTGCTGACAGCTCAGAGCCTGGAGCCTGCTTCGGATTCTGTGTCTCCCTCTCTCTCTCTCTGCCCCTCCCCAGCTCTCTCTCTCTCTTTCTCGCTCACTCAAAAATAAACAGTTAAAAAAAAATTAAAAAAAAAAAAGAAAAAGAAAACCAAAAGATACAAATGCACAAAATCATCCATCTTGCTGTGTATTTTATTTTTATTTTTTATTTTTGAGAGAGAGAGAGAGCATGAATGGGGAGGGGCAGAGAGAGAAAGAGACAGAGGATCCCAAGCA